AATCGAAGTTCTACTGTATGATAAACGGTTAGACGTATTGTGTCTTACACAGTTGTGTTCTACGCACAAAATTGTTCGCTGAAAATCATCGTCACATAATTTGTACGTGTTTCGGTCATGCCGCGAATGAATTCACTTTTTACTACCCTCGTACTGCTGCACGAGGGTTCGTTTTCAATTCAAACACTGAAACGTAACTATTATCGAAATCCAATAGTCTTCGGAAAGGAGATAATATTTTCCAACCGACTATGAGTTAACAGCACTCCGCGTGAAGTTGCTGGTTATTCGAAGCTCATGAGATGCGTTAGATGGACGTGGTCGATTACTAGTCGGCCTTTTAATGTTTTCATTTTGTTTTCCGTACGGTTTCGAGTAGATTTGTTTTGCGGTTCAGTTTGACCAGTACGACTTTTCCGTACGCGCATCACAGCTCAACGATTAACATTAGTTTTTGTGCGCAAGTAGTTTGATAAAAGTTAAGGACAAGGATTTCTACGGATGTACTGTTCCGTTTACATCGTGTTGATCAGCTTCACCGTTTCCTCGTTGCCTATCCCTGTAGGTTTTGTGCAGATGGCCGCTGACTGCGGGTTGTTTAGATTTCGCAACGTTTTCGACGTCCCGCGAACCGGCAGGTATTCCGCAAAAACTTGTCGACACGCACATTCGGCTTTCGAATCGTCTCGTCGGTAGCGCAGGATGTACGTACGAGAATCGAACAAACACGTTGTACATAAAGTGTTATGAAAAAAAAAAAAAAAAAAAAAAACGTGTTATTTAAATCGCATTAGCGAGGGACCAACAGCTCAACAAGGCTCTCGATGAACGAGTACCTATCGGAGACGTAGGTCGGAAGACACGCGCGTGTCGTACAACCGTTCGAGTCGACAACGTTTACGAACGCGTATCGTTCTCGTCCGGCACGACGTACTATAATACTATAATCGATATTTTGTGTGCGTTCGGCTGGAAACCACGTAATAGCTGTATTATAATATAATCTTCGTTCGGTTGTGTACACACTATGCGCTACAGAGAAACCTCGGTGAATCGTAACCCGATAAGTCGTCTCTTTCGAAATAAATCTCTCCGTACGAAATCCAGTATTTTACAATAATACAACCGCTTCGTTTAATAACGATGTGTAAACGTACCTGCGCACCGCGTTTTTTCGTCAGCACACGAATTATTGTCGTACGCATTATGTATACATCGCTCGCCGCAACGGAAAGAGAGACTCGTATTCGTTTAGATATTCTCAACTCTGTAGAATACTCAGTGCATTAAAATGGAAATTAAAATTAAAATATTATATTTTCGATTTTTCTATACGTAATTACTAAATCATAATTTTGACGAATTGCTTGTTTTTTATTTTCAAATCTCATCGTTTGATTTATTTTACCGAGATTTAAATCTACGTCTCACTTAGTCGTATCTCACGTACACATAATTTATTGGAAATATGAAAATATCATGTTCGTCCAACATACTATTTGCGTTCTAAAGCGCATGTAGTACAACGTGTGTGCAACGCGATAACAATACATATTATTCGAAAACGGATTACGCGTGTAAACAAGTAACGTCCGATGTAGGTAAAACAGAAATATCAAATGCAGTGACAACGGGAGGCCAACATTTATAAGTTTGCAAAGATAAGATTACATTTCTTAACCATAATGCAAATGACATAATATGAAACGTGGATTTAAATTTTTGATTATGGGTTATGTTGTCATGCAGTACCTAGCATGTATATCGGAGGTCACCAAACTTTTTTCAACCACGGTCTACTAAAAATATACTTCACCTTTGAGGATCGACTTCCGTAAAAAAATTTTTTTTTTTTTTTTTGTTATTAAGTGTATAATTTTCGTGTGCTTAACCCAAAAATAAATTCTAACACGATCGATCGTTTGGCTGCCCTGATATATATATTATTCTTAATCACGTATTTTCGTGTTTCTACAATGAACTACCGTAGTTTTTTTTTTCTTGTACAAAATATCGTAAGGTCGGTGGTAAGACCAAGCGTTTTCAGCGAAGGCCGCCGTCCTTTCGGACCCGACCCTGGCGTCGCCACTGATATGATTGGTGGTAACATTGTCACAGTATGCACAGTATTCCGTCGAACCCCGTATTAACGCAACGATAACGGTACATAAGAGCGATAAATTGATCGGAACACGTGCGTGACTGGTGCACCAAAGCATTAAGACTTCACGCGGGTAACATTTCGACGACAGTACTACTAAAACGTTGGCCTTTACGCGGTATGCGGGCCAGGGTATGATTTGTCGAAAGTTAATTAATTCGACGATAAAAAGTAACATAGAAGTAGAATATCCAGTGAAAGACGATACGTCTTAGGCTGGTTCGGTCGTACAACGGTGGCACTAGTCTCGCAGAGACATCAGTCGATAGGTACACTAATACACGCACACGCAAAACACACACGTGTGCGTTTTAATAAAAATACAAATCGACTCGTCTTCCACGGCGAATCCCGTCCTGATCGTCTACACCGAACCGCCGCGGCGCGTTTATTATTTGCAAACGCATACAGCGCGACTACGAAAACAGAACGGTTTTTGTCAAGAGGATTTACTTATTTTCGATCTCCGTGCACACCATTGCCACTTGTCGCCGACGTCACCACTGTGCAAACACGTGCCCGTACACGCTCGTGTACGCGTACATCGTAAATGGGTCATGGGATACGCAGCTGCAGACGTTCAAGGATCGCGACGTTGCGATAATCGTTACCAGCCCGGTAGGTACTACGTTTCGGAGCTCCGACGATTTACATTTTCTCGATTATTCCCGGGCGAAGGTCGTCCGATCGACGAACGGTTTCCGTTAGCGTATTTTCATTCTGAGTTAACGCCGGTGCTTTAACACTGTTATTCGATTGTTCATTTGATTTTACTACGCGGAAGTAACGTTAAACTGATCACGGGCGATCTGGGGTCGGTTGGCTACGATTGCCGATGGGAAAAACGGAAAAACAAAAAAATATTATTTTATCGTCCGCGCTAACGAGTCGTTCGAAGCGTTTACCCGATTCTAAAACCACCGAAACTCCCGCTTCCCCCTAAAGCTCACGTCATCTAGGCCCGGAAAAGTTCAAGTTTTAGATTTTATCGACCCTTACGTTCGTCTTATCGTCGTATCCCACGATTGGTTTTTAATTTTTTTTTTTTTTTTTTTGTTTTTCGGCCGTTGCAACTTTTTTTACGTCGAGTTTCATGCTCTGAAATCATTTCGTTACGTACGAAATGGGCTTGTAGATACGTAACAACGGCAACAACAACCGGACGACCACTTGGTCGGTCATCGTCGCACTTCGGCCCCGAGTGCAAGTCGTTCACAAACGGTCAATCGACGACACCGGTTCGGCGTACCACCCGGTATAAGACCTTATCGCACATTACATTGTGTATACCTGCTGCTGTGCGCGTGCTGTACATGTTGTACAATACACGCGCATTGTAAATCTGCATAACCGCGTTGATGCACCGGCTGTTGCACCGTCCGTCCGGCTGCAGGTTGTCGTCTGCCGACGGTGTATGCATTTGAATATACACGCGCATTATCCCATGCTCGCGGTACGGTCATTATTCGTCGTTAGAACAAAACGGAATGAAATAAAATAAAGAGAGAAAGAAAAAAAAAAAAAATGAAGAAGCAGAAACCTTGGCAGCGTGGAATTAATAACCGTTTATCTTCGGTCGCACGGCAAAAGTTGTATTTATTGCAGTATTTCGTATTTTGCGGTTTTTTTTTTTTGTATATAATTTTTTTTTTTTTTTTTATTCTTTTTCTTCACTCATCCTTACTCAAATAGGAACGTCAAGGTCCTCGAGCAACGCGCGGGTTAGGTTATAGGATGTGTGCGCGCGCGTGTGTGTTTGTAAATATATACATACACCCAATATAAACAACAAAATATGTAGAGACACGGTAATACAAAAATATTACAAAAACATTTATTTACAGTAACATATAAAGTAGGAAATTTGCTTTAACAATCTCTCGGCCGAGAACTAGGTATAGTACTTTAGCTAAAATTAATCATCATTAAATAGTAAACAATAATTATTATCATAAACGTTCGCGTTTCGAACATTACATTAGGACGATGTTTTGTGTAAAAACTTTCATATGTTTTTATTATATGTTAATAAATTTCTTTTTTTTCTTTTCAAAATTTTAAATAAAATAATTATAGCTAAAGGAACTAAGCTTTTATAAGAGTACTAATACAGTTCTAAGTTTTATAATGTAATTATTGAAAAAAAATAACTATTCGACAGTATTATTATGTTAGTATGATCAATACTTTTTATAAAAAAAAAAAAAAAATACAAACTTAATTCGCTTAATAAATAAATGAAAATAAATTAATCGCAGGAATAAGTAATAACTATTAGCGTAGGTAAACATAAACTATTACAATAAATTCGGAAAATTAATTCAAACAATATTTTTTTCTGTTTTTAATTTAAAATAATAACATTGGATATATATAGGATTCAACTGTTCATATAGCGCATATAGCTGTTTTTGTAATAATAACTTATCTTTTAAACGTACATAATTAAATAATAAAAAAAAAAAATCGAACACGATCCAACTTTGACTTAAAAATTAATAATTAATATTAAAATAGGAAATAGAAGTGATATTGATAAAAATTAAAATTAAAAAAAAAATATATATATATATAAAACAAAATTCTTGATATCATGCTTTTATATGCATAGAAATGGCAACTGAAAATTAAATTTACAGTTACCTATTTTGTTTTTTTTTGCACTGAGAACTAACGTAATATCAAAATTTTGTTTTGTTTTTTTTTTTTTTATGATTTTTTCGTTTTATTTGTTTTTTTTTTTCCCCGTAGCACTGAAAATGCTCGTACGATAATAATAATAATACTAATAATTATAATAATATAAATGATAATAATGTAAAATAAATAGGGTTAAAAATAAAGGAAAAAAAAAATGAAAAAATGAAATAATTGACTCGTACGACATGCGTACGATGTTATAATATTATATATAGGAATGGATGATTGGAATGATATCGCATATTGTACATGACCGTTTGTTTGAAAACATAATTAATGTGTGTTGTGTTACTCGTCTACTCGTTTCCGTTATTATTATAATCATCATCTCTCCCGCAACCGCCATTAGCACTTACTACTGGCACGTGTTGATCGTCCTCCTGTACTGGCACACGCTGCATTTGACCTCGCAGCACCACATGAAAGTGCAGTTGCAGCGCTCGGACACCATGGCCTGGTGAGTGTTGTAGCCGCGTCCGCAGCACATCAGGTCGCAACCGTCCACGCCGATGGACGACTCGTTGCAAGTGCGGCCGTGCGTGCCGAGTATGCCCAGACGGGGCGCAGGATCGCAGAAGTTCGGCGATGGTTCCAGGTACACCAGATCCTTGGTGCCGGGGGCCTTCAGCTCGGGGTTGTACGGCTTCAGCTGGAAGCTGTACCTGCTCCTACCGCCGCCGCCGCCGCCCCTGTTTCCGCCGGGCTGCTGTTGTTGCTGTTGCTGTTGCTGTTGCTGCTGCTGCTGCGGCTGCTGCTGCTGCTGCTGCTGGTTGTCGTAGTGCAGCTTGTTCTGCACGTTGTCCTTGCGCCTCAGACGCCTAAGTCCACCTGCGTTGCCCACCATCACCCTGGAAGCGCCGTCGAACCGGTCCTTGAGGTTGTCGCCGATGGACCGGAAGTTGGGCAGCCTCATCCAGCACGTTTTCACGGTGCACGACCCGGACATACCGTGACACTTGCATTCCTGTTTCATCTCCGACTGCACGTGCTAAACCGCAAACAAAAACGAAAAACCCACGCGATCCGCGTTATAGACAAGACTGATATACTATATGAGGGGGGGGGAGGGGGCGTGTAGGTTAATAATACTGTAGACAACATCGTTCCGGTTTAGGGACGGTAAAACGATTGTTTACCGCAAAACGTTCGCGCAGGTTCCTCCGGTTTTCAAGTGAAACGCACGCGAAAGTTTCGAAACCGTTTCCGGCAACCGTAGCACTGGGCACCGCGAGGGATTTACGAACGTCCGTTACGGGCGAGGGCCGAACCGTAAGAGTCGTCGAGATGCCCTTGGCCGTCGGCTCACGTTCAAAACGTGTGCGGTAAACGTGGACCAGGTCGCGGACGCGTGCAACGTGTAACGCACACCGGACGAGCCGTGTACGCCTGCGCGCCCGTCTCGCCTATTCGCTGTTCCGGCCGGCACGTAACAACGAACACGGCGGCCGCGCGCAACACATGTACTATTTTGCAATAACGCCGTGCGTTGCACGTTGCACCGCGGTCGGAACCCAAAAAAGTAACGCGCGCTCGTCCAATCGGCCGAAACCAATCTCGCAGCCACCCACGAGCGGCCGCGAACGCGAGCAGCTGTCCCGCGTTTACCAACCAACGCGTGCATCACCGGTGCACGCGTCGCGTTCCGATGTCGGGGACTGTTTTCCTATTACTATCCGTTTCGCGCGACCGCGTCGGATTTCGAAGTAAGTCGACCGGCTTGCTCGGGTTAACGTTGCAACGGTCATGCGCGTGTCCAAGAACCGTTCTGTTCCGTTCTGCCGGGCGGCCGCGGAAAACACGGGACGACGGCGGGACACGAACCGCGCTGCGAAACGATTCCCCGGGACCTGTACGCGCGGTTCTACGGGCGACACGTGCATATACGTCTATTGGACGTTTTCGATCGTCGGTCGCAATTAGAAGACGGTTGTAAGATGTCGTTTACGTTTCGTACGCCGAGGAGAACCGTTGAAAAGTCATATTACATGCCGAGAGAAGGTATATTGTGAAAAAAAAAAAAAAAAGCGAGTATGTGTGGAAACGGAGAGAGAGAAAGACACACGGACGAGCTGGAAGCAAACAGAAAAAAAAAAAAAAAAACGAACCAGGACTATAGAAATGTCATGCGAGATTCGAGATCGTATAATTGACAATGTCAAACGGGGCGAAAGCTAATATTATTCATCGTATTGTCACGTCAATTACACTGCTTGATGTTATGTTACCGGCTGCCGGGCACACTCACACACACACACACACACACACACACACACATACGTTCCGTCTATAGCCTCTGTACTGCGACCGCGACGACGACGCATGTCGTTTTATGCGTCGTCCGGTCCGGAGAACACTCGGTGCGTACGGGACGGTTGGTGCACGCGCATGCGCGTGTTGGCGCACGTCTATCACAAAAGTTGCGCGCCGGAGACACTGTCCCGATAAATTTATCGAAGACGCTTTTGGACGGGGCCAGCGCGCGCGGGTCCGCCGCTGTCGGCCGATTATCTATTACACGGCCTCCTTCGTCGGTGACCGTTTTCGCGACATCATCACTTATTCTTCGCGTTCCCCTGCTCTACGCTCCGCTACTCGTGCACCGCCCCTCCGTACCCGTTCCCATAACCCGTACCGTCCGACATCGAACCGATCAAGTCGTACCTCTGCACACTATGAGCGCACATTCTTCCCTCTCCCCTTCGATACGCGTTCGGCGAGGTCTCGGCGATTTCGTGTATCGACCGTAAAACGGTTCAACGTTGGTCTCGCGGTCCGGGAAACGTTCGATAATCTCACGCCACCGGACACGTTGGACACGAGGTTACAGCGCGCGCGCACGTCACGCTGCACATACGACCCCGCGGTACGCGAACGCGCGCAACAGGGAGCGGTTGGTGAAACACGGTTTTACGCGACCGGCGAGTACCGCACGCTGCGATCCGTCGCCGGGCGAGTACGAGCGGAACGGCAGGCCGCGGCGCGCAC